AGTGTCAAGCGAGGACTGCTGGCTCTTTGCAGAGGTGCCAAGCAATCTGGAAAACTGCTAAAGGTACCATTTTCCATCACTGTCGTATCCTCTGTATTGCACAGTAAGTGTTATCATCTAGCCCACACAGAGGCTGCTAAAAAATTTCAGACAAGAATCATCAAAACGAATGAGCCCAGCGTTATGATGTATTAGGCTGAAAAAGTAGACTACTGTAGTAGCTCAATAGCAAGAAAATTGAAATCACAAGATAGTCATTATTCAAATACTGAGTAAAACTGGTGAAATGTAATTGTCTCTGGAGGATGTGTGTGTGTGTGTATGCACCTATATCCGGTTACATTTTCCTGTCATCACAATCCTACTTTTTTTTAGTACAAAAAACTCTGCCATCTTTATGAGGGTTTTAATAAACTTAAGCCTAACAAATTAAAGCAACTGCATCACCTCCAAGAAAGAGATGTAACCAGCAAAACACAGAAGAGGCTTTTCGGAGTCACACCTTGCTGAGATTCATGGCCCGCGGATGTGTCCCCCAACAAGGTTATTCTAGAATAAAGTCTCCCCCTTGTGGAGCTCTGACATTATAAGGCTCCATGAACTATGCAGCGGTTCGATAAAGCTCACAGAGCATCCCGTGCTGTATCATAAAGTCTGTGCTCCTTCCTCTACAGGTGAGGATTTCATGGGGGCTAACGGCAACCTGCAATGAAACCACGGTGCAGAACTTGCTTCAGCTCAGCGGGCTCAGCCCACCTCGGGCAAGACAAGCCATTTTGCTCTAAGTTGCATCACGATTCAGTGATAAACGCACTTGAGAGAGACTGAAGCCCCCAAACGATTTTGCTCTTGTCCCATTTCTGCGTTCTGCAGAAGCTAATTATGAAGCTTGGGTCAATGACCCCACAAGTCATTTGAGGCAGGAATGGCAACGGTTTAACTACTTAGGTAGTAAATCAAATTTTCAGATTGTTTCTAGCCAATTGAATTAGAGAGAGAACATAAAGCATGGCAAAGAGTTTCACCTTTTTAGGAGGGAAAAAGTTCCTATCCAAGAAAAAACAGTTTTGTCCCTGAGTGAGTAGTTGTGGCTCAGAGATTATGGGAGCTACAGGACTATTTGCAGAATCATTCTTCCTTAAACACTTCGTTAACTACGCTGTTCTCTAATCTGCATTAATTTAAAGGGATCACAAAGATTTCTTTGCATATGATAATTTACATTATTAAGAAACCATTGCGATCATTTAAATTTGCACGTTGATTCCAATACTCTTTTAAGGTAGTTTAAGCATGGGTCTAAACTCACACATTTGTCCACAAGACTGATTTTGGTATGCTGTGTTTTCTAGGAAACAAATTCTTTGGTGGCTTCCAATATTGTTTTATTATATATGCAATAACCCCATATTTTATTTATAGTACCAATTGTTGAGTCAATACTGGATAAAAAGCTTTTTAAGTATCCAAAACATGTTCTCACCTCATTTCAGATTAGTAATATAATGGTTAAATATTTGTTTCTTGTAAGTTTTGGAACAGTGCTAGGTTTCCAGTTTTCATTAATAACCTCCTATTTGTATGCAGTAATTAGTTTTAAAATGCTAGCATTGTGATTCCTGCCTAGCCCTGTCATAAATCAACAGTCAATCTCGGTGCCTCCCCACAAAGGAGCAAAATCCTGCTTCCCTCAATGCCAGTGACAAAATCTCTCCAATTTCCGGATTACGCTCAAAGACTTGGTGAAGGACCTTAGCTTGATGGTGGGTGACTCCTGTCCTTCCTAGGCACAGAGGAGACGCGGCAGCGCAGCAGGGCCGGCTCCGTCGCGCCTCCGCACGAAGCGCCAGCTCCTGCAAGCAGAGGGGAGCTGCTATCGCTCTGCTCCCCTTCACTCCTTGACCTCTCAACAGCAGCTATCAGCAAACCGTGTTCTCCGTGTCCACCGAGAGCTATGGACATCTGGCTGCTAGAAACAAATATACTGTTCATTCACTTTACACGTCAGTCGACAATTTGTAACTGCCGTTGGTCTGGGACAGAGTGTGGAGAAGTGGCAGGAACCACTCTCCTCACTCACTGAAGCAGGTGCCTTATTTTCCTCTTTTTATCTTTCCCTTTTTTTTTTATTCTTCCTTTTTTAATAAAGACTTCAACAAAAATGCAGTTTATACTGCTAAGCTGTGGAAAGTTACTAAAGCTCTGGCCATTGGTTCTGATTTCTGCTGCCTGATTCAGCGAAGAATGAGGCTGAAAAAACTATAGAGGCAAAACATTAAGAATCAAAACATGACAAATCTGAGCAAGTGACAAGAGACTAAAACAAAGACTTCAACCTAGCAAAAAGGATATTACATCTTTTAGCCATATTCTCAGGGATTACCTGTTATCTTAACAGGATGGACAAGGAACTACAGTTCTTGCTGAAAGCAAAATAAAAAGGGTAAAGTAATTGGTAATTACAATACTGCAAGCTATATTTTAAAATCACTAATGCTTTAACCAAGTAACTTGATTTTCTAGCACAAAATCTTCATACATGATTAGCCAGCAATACAGAGTTGCACTGCTGTTAGTGATCGATGTACTCTGGGCTATTTCGATAATGTGTTAAGCTTTATCCTTGAGCAAAAAGTGTTTATGTGACTGTATATCATAACTTTTGTATGCATTGACACTGCTATGTGTAACTTGGATTAATAACTTCATCACTTATCATAGCTCTAAATATATATGTGTATTCTTATATTACGCACATCAGGAACAGCGCCGTAAACATTAAATTAGGTTTTCATATTAAACCAAACTATGGGATCCAGAAGCACAAAGTCCACCGAAAGTTATGAACATGTTCTACCTCCTACACCTGAGTGCAGCGTGTAGTCCACCACCAGCAATTGCCCATAGCACATAAATGGATTTTGCATAGTTTATTCAGCTTCTTGACAGATAAGCCAAGATTGTATCTGGGAAATTAATGAAACTGTGTTGTGAAAAATCTACCATTAATTGTCATTTCACACTGCCACTTTTGGGGCCATTAAAATAAGACAAATCATTATTGAAGTCATTTACCCCCTTACCTTTCCAAGCCTGTTTCCTTCAAACAGCAAGAGCTTTTCATCTCCTTCCAGAGCTCCCTGTCTCTTAAAATATCACGTCCTCCTCACAGCTACAGAATTTTATCTTGCTCTCCTCCTGCAGTTGTAATATTCCTTGCACTGTTTCAATTCCTTCATTTTCTCTCATTTTGGATCGGACTTTCATACTGTCATTCAAGCTGTCTCTCCAATGTCATACCCAACAAACACTGTCTCCAAAAATCTTTATTTCCTAGTTCTTGCAACATCTCTTTTCTTCTTTCTCTCATCATCACTGATCCTGCCTCCTTCATCTTCCAAAGCCCTGATGCCTGCGATCTTTCATGTTCTCCAATTTTTATTCTGCAGGAAACCTACATGTTCTGGGATTATAAATCCATGTTAAATATATGGGTCTGTTGAATTTCTAAAATAAATACACTATTAACATTCAAATTTGAACCCTTCTCTCCCCTCCTGTCTCCCTATGGTAGCAGCCTCCTTGCTGCCTTATTTACCACAGTGGCGTAACTGTCTGTATGATCTCACGTGCATTAAAGACAGAGCAGGCTGAGAACACAGCGGGAATTGTGTTATCTTCCTTTAGACCCACCAAAGGTATGTGGAAAAGTTATTAAGGCTTCAGCAGATTATTACCGTGAGGCATGAGCTAAGTGCAATGAAAGTCAGAAGTACAATATCTGTGGGGTTTGGGCCATAACGGAAAATAGGAAAAAGCTAGAGGCGCAGATCTTTCCAAAACACAGGGAGACGTTATAATCCCCTTGGAAAATAACAGACCTGGAATACTGATTTTCAGTGTGCTCTACTAACAAGGGGAGCTTTGGAACCAGGAGAAACGACAGTAGGAGGTTACCAGTGTCAGACAGCTATGCACGTAAAGGGCCTTAAGAACCCATAGATGCCTTCTCAATTATCATTACTGCTCACAGAAGTCATATTCATATATATCTACATCTCATTACTACAGCTGTGTCAAGGAAGGACAGAACAACATCTCACGCTGCTGCAGCCAGTGGCCAAACTTGCTTTTTCTATAGCCAACAGCCATTACCTTTGAGAAGTTCTAGAAGAACCACATAAGAGAGCAAATAAAACCTGCAAGGGGATCACCATGAGCTACTTTTCCATGTGAAGAGCACAACAGACAACTCTTGCATAGAGGGAACAATAAATTTGCTGTATATCAAAGTCAGGAGCACCTCTAAACTCAGCCCAGTAACTTTGATTACAGAGCATCTTTCAGAAAGATTCCAGTCTTGATGTGAAGACACTAAGAAGTCGAGAATTGTCACTTTGCACCTGTCTCCTGATTTTTACTGGTAAGCCTGTACACAGCAAGCATTATCCAGAGGTTAAATAGAGAGGGGTCTTTGGAACCTTCAGGAAAACATGGAAGAACCTGACCACTACCCAGGGCAGAGGAATCTCTTCAGCAGGGCCATTCCCACCTTGCCCACCGCATGTCACAGCCTGCCCTAGGTGAGACAGACTAGTCTGCCGGTCTCCAGTAAATGAGCATCCCAGTGAGGCAAGCCAGGCAGGTACTTCCTTTGCCAAGGAGAGGGACATCACTTTGCTCATCATTAGAGAGAGGCACCCCCAAAATTTTGAAGTGGAGACCAGGGTTGGCACTTTCTGCTCCAGAGGAGAAAAGAAAGGTCATCTAGGAGGCCAACGCAGCTTCCCAAGGCAGAACAAACCAAGGATAAACAGCTACCTACCGACCTTTCCCACCCAGGTGCCCAACCAACTCCTTTGGCACTGCTTCCATCCCACCGCAAGCGCTCGCCTGCCTCGTAAGGTCCCCCCAGCACTCCCACCTGCCACAAACGCCTTGCTCTGCACCCTCCCCTGCACGGTGGGGCAGAGAGCGCCCGGCTCCCGGTGCTCGCTCACCTTGTGCTCCAGGACGCTGATGTAGCCCTCGAGGAGGCCGGTCCCGCCGGGCGGCGCCGGGCGCTGCTGGCCGCGTCCC